GATATAAACATATGTATATATGTACATATATATATTTATATGTTTTATGATATCTATCTTACATAAGTAGAAATTTTGAAAGAAAGTATTTAATAGATAAAAGATTTAAGTATATACACAAATGTAATCTTGAAAATATTTTATATATCAATATTTTAATTTCAAATATAAAATAAATATAATATATTAATGTACAAGTTAATCTATATAATATTTCTCTGTTTATATGTATATCAGTTTGTGTTTTTATAAAAAACATGTTTTAAGGATATTTAGAATAGGTAAAAAGCACAACTAAATATGATTATGTAAACTGAGGCACTATAGCCAAATATTAAATATTTCGTTTGAAAATTTTAATTAGAATTTATTCAAGTTTTAAGATTCATTATATTTTTGTAACAAGTAAAATATATATTTCCATAAACTTTAAAGTATTTCAAATTTGTACGTACTCAAACTAAAGCATGGTCCCAATGAACTTTTTACCTATCACTTTCATAATACTTTTTATTAAAATATACTAATAGTATTTCTATTTTTTTATAAAATAATGATTGCATTTTTTATATAAAATATATTAAATACAAAACATAATGTAATACAAAAAGTTATTACGAATTTCATTTGGAGAAATTAAAAACTGTAAATATAGTAATACTATTGATAACCTGAATGTAAAAAAAATAAAAATTATATATCTATAAAAGCACCATTAAGGTCTTCATATTTTGCTTGATTTTGTTTCCTTTTGTTAAACCTATTAAAAATTTAAAAATTACTTATGAAATACATTTTGAAACTATCTTAAAACAAAAATCATACTTCAATGATTATGTTTACAATAAAATATTATAGTAAAATATTCAAATATTTATTAAATGTCAGATCATTAAATTGTTATTAAAAAATATGTATACGCGTACACACACACACAAGCATACATATGCGTGAGCGAGCACGCATACACACGAAAATAATATGAGTTATTGAGAAAAAAACATTCTTACAAGTCATAAGGGTATTACGTTTGCATGGTCCTCTACATTTTTCCGATAACCAGAAAAATCTGTTACCAAATCAATTTCATCAACATCTTCAGCTAGAAGCCGACCCTCTATATCATCCTTAGATCTTCTAAATAGCCTGTAATTGAATCGAATAATACAAACAAATTATTTTATTTATTGAAGTCATGTTAAAATATTAATGTATAAATTAAAAAATGTATTACCTTATTTTATATTTAAAGATGACTTATTCTCAATTTATGAACTATTTCTTATTACTATGTCACATCTTTTTTATATTAAACTATAGTATTGCACAAGTATAAGCCAAAATATTGCAGATAAGAGATTTAAATGCCATACTGTTAGTCAATAATCATTGCACTAATATAAGCATTAGAAGAAAGTCACATCTCTTTACATTAGACTACATTATTACACAAGTATATGTATAAGCTAAAATGCTGCAAAAGAGGTCTAACTACTGTAATGTCAATCAATGAGCATTACAGTAATATAAACGTAAGAAGAAAGTCGAAATACGTACAAACAAATCAATTGTAAGATATTCGAAAAATCATTCATTAGCTGTAAGCAAAGAAATTAAATACATTCTGTATTAAATTCTGTCACATTAATCCGAAAAAATACATGCTATAATTATAAAATATTTTTCTTACAATCAATAAAAAGATTTATAACGAGAGCCCCTCCAAATATTGCTGTAACATTATGAATGTCCAAGACAGTTTGTAACTAACATACACACATATACAGATTATAAAAAGTAAATATTGTAAAATAATGCAAAAAAATATACAATCAAACATTGAAAGACAACAAAAATCCTTAGGATCAAATAACTTATTTAATAGATAATATAGGTATGTATAAAAAATCTAAATATTTATTTACAAAAGGATTTCCTTTTACAATATCTAAAATCGATGTACAATAAAAAATATCTTATTTCATATCAATTATTTACATTTAATACAATATTTACAATTCGGAACGGTAAGATTAAACGGTAAATATAAATAATTAACTGTATTACTATCTTTTTAACACATTATTTGCAACTATTAAAAAATGATATATATACAATCTTTTCTTTAATATAGTTTCTTTTTGATCAGTCTTATATGTTTTATATGTATCTAACAATAAATCATTATATAATTAAGAAAATCTCTTTTAATATTAATTTCCAATTCACATCTTGTTTTATTTATGTGCAATACAATTAAAATGTTAATTTGTTAATAAAAAAAATTTGATCTCTGAACTACCAAGCATGTTACAACTAGTAAATTTTACTATAGTATCCATTTAATTTAACTAACAATTTTTAATATTTTTGTTACTTTAATACAACATTACTAATATAAATGATAAATAGCAAGCATATAAAGTTCAATAAAACTAACACCTTGATATTAGTATGTTACAATGAAGAAGATAACACCAATTCATAATGTTAAAAATCAGTTGCTGTAATTCCATCAAGCAGTAGGATTATTACAATTTAGTACAAACTTTGAAAGCATAGAAGAAGTGTGATCGTACCTGGACAATGTCGATGTTGATCTATGCATAATAGGTATTACAGAATCATCTAAACCACAGTGAAGAGATACCGTATCTAAATCGATTCTTCTTGCGGTAGAATGAGCGTGCATCGCTGTTAAATATTCGGGTGTTTCTAAGATGGCCTTTGTCGGTTTACGATATCTATAAAAATAAATATGAAAACAATAAAACATTGTATCTTACTTTCTTTGCTTTTCATTTTTAGAAACAGAACCTCTACGTTTCTGTTTAATACCTACAATTTCAATAATAAAGAACTACCAACTACGGATGCTGAACTTAATGCCATCGCCGCTGATGACATCCAAGGTTGAAGAAAGAATCCGAATGAACTAAATATCCCAGCAGCAATAGGAATACCCAACAGATTATAGATACTAGCAAATAAAAAGTTCAGTCTTATTCGAAGAACTGTCTTCCTCGATAAATCCAAACACGCGATAACATCCAAAAGATCGTTCTAAAAAATGATTATTAACATAGCGTGTCGTATACGCGTGAAATGTTGAAGAAATGTAATATTTTTAACTTACTCGCATAAGAACCACATCAGCTGCTTCCACAGCAACATCTGTACCAGAAGCTATTGCAATACCAACATCTGATTGAGCAAGAGCAGGACTATCATTAACCCCATCTCCTACCATTGCAACTCTCAAACCTTGATCTTGTAAGCGCTGAATTTTAGCAACTTTATGCGAAGGTAATACCTCAGCAAATACTCTACTAATACCAACCTACATAAATAATAGATATCTTGTTAATTTATAAAAATTCATCAATGAACTTGTAGAATAAAACGAAGCTTACATGTCTAGCAATAGAAGCAGCAGTTATTCTATTATCTCCTGTTAAAAGAATAACTTCTAAACCCATCTTTTTTAAAGTATAAATTGCTAGATGAGCTTCAGGTTTGACCGTGTCTGCTACACTGATCATAGCTATCAATACATTATTTATTACTGCTAAAACTGCAGTATGGCCTAAATTTTCCTCAGCAACCATTTTCAACTCTACTTCTTGCGGTATATTTACAGCGTTTCTTCGCATCCACTCTCGATTGCCGATACAAATTTCATATACATCGTCAGGATTAATTTGATCACCATGGGAATCCGGATTCAACAACAATTCCAGGTCCAAATTCTGTCTACCTTGGCTCGTACTCGTAATTGGTGTAACATCGATTGATATATTATTTAGATTATATGTTCCAGAAGATAATTTTTTTACTTCGTTAACATAGTTAATAATTTTTTCAGATTTTAATGCATCGGCCAGTATTGTTGAAATATGTGATACTTTACACTTAAGTCCACAACCAGCAACTGTTTGAAAATTCATACACTGTCCAGTTGTTTCTGAACCTATCGTTTCTTTCACGTACCGAACAATCGCTTCAAAAAAAAAAAGAATTAATTTAATGTAATTTAATGTAATTTAATGTAATTTAATGCTAGATGTAATAATTAAAAAATATAAATATTATCAATGTCTCACCTGATGCGATTGGATGTTCGCTATTTGTTTCAGCTGTACAAACAATAACTAAGAACTTCGCTAACGAACAAACATTTTCATTTACCAACAGATTTATTTTTGTTACCATTGGCACACCGTGTGTTATTGTTCCCGTTTTATCAAATACAATACATTTAACTTTGTGTGCATTCTCCAAAGGTTCAGCACCCTTTATTAAGATACCATTTAATGCACCGATTCCAGTACCAACCATAACAGCAGTCGGTGTCGCTAAACCCAACGCACATGGACAAGCTATTGCTAATACGCAAAGAGCACTTCGAAAAGCATATTTAAATATAATCTCTTCTCTGTTCAATCCGTGTTTATTAATTTGATCATCGTGAGAGATCGGTAAATTATTTATATTCACATATCCCACTATAATCCAAATGATTAAAGTCACAATAGAAACAGCTATAACCAATGGAATGAAATAACCAGCTATCTTATCAGCTAAATGTTGTATAGGTGCTTTATTCATTTGAGCCTCTTCTACCAATCGTACAATTTGTGCCAATGTCGTATGTTCTCCTGTATGTGTGGCAGTAATTAAAAGTGGACCATTTTGATTTATCGAGCCACCTATCACAACAGACCCTTTCTTTTTTGGCACCGGCATACTTTCCCCGGTAATTAGACTCTCGTCACAAGTAGAATGTCCTGACAAAACCCTACCATCAACCGGAACTTTGGCACCTTGAACTACTTTTAGTACATCTCCCTGTTGTACTAAATCTATACTAATTAAACGTTCAGATAATATTTCATTGTTAAGACCTAATGTAACTAGAACCGCATCTGTTGCTTTCAAAGACAATAACTTCGATAAAGCTTCCGAAGTCTTTCCCTGAAAAGTTAATTATTTTTTATCTATTTATTAATTTCTGCTGCACAACTAAATTAACAATATAACTGCGATATTTATATAAAAGAACTAATCAAACCTTTGCAACATGCTCTAACCACCTTCCTAAGCTGATAAATACCAACAACATTGGTGGAGTATCAAAAAATGTTTGAGGACTGACATGCTCCTTCATTATCATGGCTGCTGTAAGTACAGCAACTGAATATAAATAAGATACTGTAGTGGTCATAGAGATTAAAACATCCATGTTAGCTGTACCATGTTTTAAAGCTTTATATGCTTGAACATAGAAATGCCAGCCACCAAAAAACTGTAAACATTAGTGTGTCAAATTTATAATTAATTTCTTGACCTAAATAAATATTCAAAATTACCTGAACTGGCGTAGAAAATATAAAAAGAATTAGATTTTCCCATGAAAGACCAGGTACTATACAACACATATCTTCGTGCGATTTTTCACCAATGGACATAACAACCATAAAGTATGTCATGGCTAACATACACGGTATGCCAAAAATTAAAGATACTAGAAACGCTGTCCGCCATTTGTTTATTTCTTCTCTATATAAAAAAAAAATTTTTTTTTAAAGAAAACGAAAAGTCATATTCATAAGTAAGTTTCTATTCCTTCAAAAGTAACACAAACTGCATATTATGCTTACTTTTGATCCAAATAATCTCTATTTTCTTTATCTCCATTATTAAATAGCATAGCGGTGAAACCTAATTTGTTAATGCAATCAATAATGTCTCTAACGCCCAGTTTTTCTACGTCATATTTGAATTTGCCTCGTTGAGTTGCTAGAGCAATTGCGGCCGAATGAACGCCAGGTAATTTCTTCACAGTCGATTCTATTTTATTTACGCAAGATGCGCATGTCATACCTGAAATCTGATAAAATCGGGATTAAGAACGTCGTCGTTAATCGTAAATCATACGAAATAAATAATTTTAGCATAAATAATTTCGTTTTGGAATTTTCATGAATTCCATACTTTCAGTTCAATTTCTCCTTTACCGGTCCCAGGTTCCTCGATCAAAGTAGTAGGAAAACCTAATTCGGATACGCTGGAAGCTATATCGACCGCCCTTATCTTATCCGGGTCAAATGTAACTTCTGCCTTTGCCGCCAACAATGCTATCAAGATATTGTTTACACCGTACAATTTTTTACAATGTTTTTCTATAGCAATGACACAGGAAGCGCAAGTCATTCCCTATGAAAAACAAACCGATTTTTAATAACAAAATAACGACACAAATGAAACACGATATGATCCTATATTTACCGTTATATGTAAGAAACATTTTGCTGTTTGATTCTGAGCTTTTACGTCACCTCCTCCATTCATCTGCAACGAAATTTCTTCACCCTGTGCAGAATCAGTTTTCAACGACGAATCTATCATTCCAACGATTTTGCCATTTACTTCTTTAACAAACGCATTGAAACCCATTTCTTCAATGAATGCTGATATTTGTTCTGCCGTTACGTCATTGTCGTTATACGAAACTTTAGCTTCCTTATTCTCTAAACTAACATTCAGCTCTTTTATTCCTGATTTCTCCGATAGGATATCTGTAATAGAAAAAGAGGAGATATGCAATAACTTCATTACTAACAAGTGTTGGTTTAAGAAATATGTTACTTACCAGTAATAGTTTTAACGCAAGACATACAAGTCATTCCATCAACGTGTATACTACAAGTGCTAGTGGTTGATTGTAATAGACAACTTTTCTGATTCTTTTCTACAGAACTGCTTTCATTCCGACATAAAGAAGCAGTAAAACCCATGTCTTCTATAGCTTCGACCAATTCATCAGGCGTAATTTCGTCTGCCTTGTATTCAATGTAACCGAGCTTCTCTTCTAAGACTACTTTAATACTTAAGATTTCCGATCGACTACCTATGGTTGCCTCGATGTTCTTCACACAGCTCTGACATCTCATACCCTCGATGTTAATCTTCACCGTACCAGAATTATTCGAGGAATTTTTAATTTCCTGCGACTCAGAAACGTAGACCAAATGCGCTGTCCCTTCGTAATTGACATCATCGTCGCCATCCCTAAAAATAACGAGCAAAACATCGATCTTTTCAATTTCATTTTATATGTAATTATGCTGCAAAAACGATTCAGTCAACAACTTTTTCAAAAGGAAAAAAACACAAGCCGGCCGTTATCGGCCGAGTATAAAAACCATTGTTGTGTAAGTGAACTGAAATATGAGCAAGTAAATATATTTCTTTCTAATTACAACAGTTTTCCTCGAACTGAATGCCAATAGTTATTAACGAATAGAATAATTTTACACTATCGATTCGCATTTTAAAATAAGCGATACCAACGACCAGCGATAGGCAAAACGTTTTATTACTAATGCAAAAACGTAAACTACGCATTTTTTTCATTTCAACTGATTCGAAACGTACATTCAATCTTATCGAAAGAGGAACTAAACTATTCGATTTATATAACATGCGCGCCTGTCGTTAATGCGTTCGGTAAAATTACAGATACTGCGTTTATATCGATTTAAGACATCTCGATATAACTCTTTCGATCACCGTATAATACTTCTCGATTTTTATCGTAGGTAATCAAGGTCTACTTTTCGTCACGCGCTACAGTGTAAGTTGCAAAATTAATAACTCCTTGTCAGTGTATCGTCGATAATTATTATTTGTCACGAAAGATAAAGAAACATTGAACGGTATCAACAATAATATTAATTATTTTTTTACAATTTTACCATTACAGGGATTAACAAATCTTACCAAAACAAGTCCATCACCATCTCCTTTTTCTTTCGAATCAGAGGCTGTGTATCGTCGTCCATGACTCTAACAATAAGTTCAAACACGACAAAGAACTAGCGATGGAGGATCTTTTACCGGAAATATCTTTTACGGATAATCAGTCGTTACTCGCGTTGAATTAAGTACAAAAACCGTAATTCCATTCGGTTAAAATATCGAGGGACGATAACGAATTTTTAACAACTGCTTACACGCCGATAAGCGTCAAACTTTGTAGAGATAAAGTTGGATCAGACTATATTACAAAACCGCAATTTTCCGATGAGAAACAAGGAAGAAATAAGGGAAAAAATATATATAACGCGAAAGGTCTCTACTCATTTTAAATTGTATGAAATTTATGGATATACGCGACAAGGGTCGTGCGAAGAAATAAAAAAACGTGGAAAAATTTATCAGGTATCTATGAAACTCTGGAGCATCAACAAATAATATAGTAGTAGACAAAGGACAAAGGAGCGATCTTCGAATCTCGTAATACCGGATTGTGACCGTTCTGTAAGATCGGTTTAAAGATTTTCTGAATTGTATGTAAATACGTGCAGTACGTGCAATTCGTGCGTGTCGCGGGCAGATCACGGGATCACGATTCTCGAAAGCGAACAAGTTCCGGTGGTAACGAGTGGGGCGAAAACCAAACACGCGTTCGTGTGCTTGACTCGAATTGATATCAACGGCCAACTGATAACTCCTATAATCGTCTCGACAAGTCAATCCCAGCCTTTTTGCTCACGGCACTTATTCGACTGATCATTGCTCTCCTACAAGGATTAACCGATATCGAACAAGTGCACACGATCTTTTGTCAACTACTCTACACTCGCACAATTCCTTCCCAGCTCCACTTAAACGATGATGCCGTAATAAGTCTAAAATCGGAAGATATAAGCAACAAGAAATAACCGATCAAATACCAATCTCGTTAATCATTCGGAATATAGGTAAAATCATTCGAAGTATAGTACGTGGCAAAGTAATCGCACACTGATTTACAGTAGTTCTCGAATAACCTCAAAACGGCATATGTATCTCGAAAAAAAGAAATTATCTGATTATAAAACAAATTTTATTTTACAGGAGAAGGTTAGTACTGTTCGAAGCAGATGATAAAGATGGTGACAAAAAAATACTTTCTCTGAAACATTTTCGAAAAAATGACAAAAATCGATAGTTTTTGTTTATTTAATTCATAAACTTAAGACAATAAGCAGTTTTGGCTGCCAAATTCGGATTTAGCGTATGGAAATGTATGAGAATCTTTCTCATTTTCGAAAACAGAATTCTTGTTGATCTACTTTTTAATACCTGTGTTGCCATTTTGTCGCAGTCATTTTACACATGAACAAGTATTATTTGTAGAAGGAAATGTAAACTGTGGTTAATATTCCTCTGTACTATTAAGAACCGAAGATACTGCACGAGTACATATATAACATATGCATACATCGTATTAGTTTCAAGAAACACTGAAAGCTACAGGGTGTGCTATTCTTTTGTCGCGTACTGTAAATGTTCGCTTTGAATACCTTTGTATAAAGAAAAAGAATTAACAAAATAGACGGATCGAAAGGGAAATACTTCGTCACACTTTCTGCACACGACTCTTTCTTCGATTAATCGAATTTCGGAAACGTTATCTTTTAATTATCTTTTAGGTAATAACAAATTATTATTCTGCGTCTTACAATTACATTATGTATCACTGACGCACAATATCGAATTAATAAACAAAGAGCAGAGCTTTCTGTTTGCATATACATACATCTCAAACTTGGAGGTTTTAGATATAAATTCTTTGAATAAATAAAAGTAAAAATACTGACCGGACTAATTTCATTTTTTCAGCCATATTATCTTCGTGCAATTGTAAACAAAGAATTTTATACAAAAGATATGATACAATTTCACTATCCTAGTCAAATTTTCTGCAGTCGATTCGAAAGCTGCATACTATTTTACGTCAATCTTGCTCGTCGCGCAAAGAATAAATCGAGTTCGATAAAGTGAAGTAAAACCGAATGAAAATACTGACAAAGTATTCTTCATTATCAGTTCTTTTATGTAGCATTGCAACAAGGAAACAAGTTACAATGTTTGCTTTAGTGCTCTTTTATCTCCTTAAGAGTCTAAATTTTACTTAAGCAAATCTGTGCTTGTACAACTGCCCGAGAATTATAAATGACGTTCAATCTAATATTGTCTTTTTCTGCATTTTCTTTGTTATTTGCCTTTTCTTCAACTCGAAATCTGTATTACAATTGATATTTAATTAAATATTTTTTATATATTATATTCTTTTATTCTTTTTTTATAATGCTCTGTGCTTTTCAATAGCAATATTGTAAAACATATATATCAGCTGCTTAGTTTAGTTTCAACTTTTGAGCTAATATTCGCTTTAAAACTTCTATTCCAACAGACATTTGTCGACGTTATAATACACAGAGAATTCAAAGGTAATACACAAATGTTGCGAGTCGAGTTATCCTTGTTTACATACATACATATGTAAGTAGCGCACACTTTCATTTGTATTGGATCGTTTTCTGTTTTTTACCTTCACGATTCTTCTAATACTTGCTTCTTATTTTCAATTGCGAACACAGAGTTTTCATTGTGCAATAAATGAAACAAGCTATGATATTTTTGCAAAGTCCAATTAAAGAATCACAAGTAACTTGTTTATTTTTCGATATTTAATAATTTTGCCTTAACGTAATTGCGAAGAACTCGTTAAACCGCAAACTTTATCTTGTTTCCTTCGGAGACTTTATAAAAGCACTATCTACCAAAACGATACCCGAACAAATCGAAAACGCGCCGAGAAATATGTAAATCGAAAGGAGAAAGTCGAAAGAAATTAAAAAATCCGTTACGTTTCATCGACTTCGCGTTCGAATAAAGTCACATTCCAGGTTATATCTAACAAATAACACGAATATTTTAGAAATACGTTTTAAAATTGATGAAAACGGAGACAAAAATGAAAAGAACAATGAAAAACAAAATTAATTTGATCAAACGAAAATATGAGTAAAATACACTGGCTGAAGAACGAAACACATTGAACGGTTGAAAGCTGTCACGGAATGCACGTGTTTCGTTAGAACTAAAGATACATATACCTGAAAACAGTTCGAACAAGTATTGCGTGCACAAGAGAGAAAGGCATGCTCCAGATTCGCGTATTAAAACCATAGATCAGCTGGACAGATTTGTCTTAGCGAGTAATTTATGTATTATTCAATTATCTCTTTTATTTGTTAAATCGAAATTGTAGTTAAATTTTTCATAAGAAAAAATCGATATGAAACAATAATTTTGTATTAATTTCACTGTTATAATCGAATAAAAGGCTTATAAAAATAGTTATTTCTTTCACAATAAAAATTAATTCAGTAGCTAACTTACCCCAAATTTTTGGTAGAATTTAATAATTTGTATTTCCATGTATTTGCTATCTTCCGCATTACGATAATAGTAAAATTATGTGTTTCTCAAATTGATACGTGATAAAATTGAAGTTATTCGATAAAGCGAAGGAAGCACGTTAACTGTACTCTTGTAGATTTTAACGATCAATAGACCACGATCAAATTTCGAAAGTCGATCTATTCTTTGTTTCGATTAGAAAATAAAAGCATCGCGAGTCACCGTGTTTTTTGAAATACGATCACTCAATAACATTCTTCTATTCTTCAAGTTCTATCATCAAAACATTATCGTTTGATTTTTTAAACCATCAAGCAGTAATCTATGCTTTTAATTTCGAAGATCAATTTATATGTATTATTTTTCAGCCAACTTATGTTTCTTTTATATATGTGTTTCTTTGTACCAACAAATTTAATGACAGAACAATGCACAAATGGTAAGCAATAATTGTAAAGAAAACTTATTTGTCCTTGGCTAGTTGGCAATGGTTAAATAATTAACGATAAATGATAATATTATCGGTAATAATTATCAATATTACATATTTATTCTGTACAAAAAAACTTTCTTTGTTCTATTCTACTCTGTTACTCAATCTATCTAATTACCATAAGTACAAAAGGTATATAGATATACATTCAAAATAAAATACAAAATTAAACACAAAACAATAAAATGTTTTGTAATCTTTAACATAGAAATATATTATAATTTATGTAGATATTGATAGTAGAAACAGATCACTTACTCTTCTTTTGTCAATGTCAGCTTTACATCTGTTGCTTCTTCTGTATCTGCCTGTCCTGCAAAATCAATGATCAAACATTAATTTTAAATATGATAAAATTATTTAATGTAAGCATATTGTAAAAATTATATTATAGCTTTTTAAATAAATAACTTACAACAAATGTATTAGGTTACCTGTACCTATTTCATCAAGTTGAAGATTGTCATTTACTGATGTCTTTGTGTTAACCGCTTCCATTTCTTCTACAAAATAATATTATAAATAGATTACATTTAACAATATTTACATTTAACAATATATAATTACACTTAGTAATTTAAAATGGTTTATTTAATAATATTTTCATAAATATAGTAAAATTGGAAAACATTAAAAATAAAAAAGTTATACCGAAAATATAACAACAAAAATCTAAAAAAATAAATAAACGAGTAAAATACATTTAATCATTGTATAAAATATGGGTATGGCAAAAACCAAGAATTAATCAACACTGTTATCAATTAGAATTACTAATGAACTAATGAAATTAATTAAATCGTGAATCGATATTATTTATTCGCTTTATTGTTCGTCAGTATACGTAACTGACACGTCCCAAAAATAAAGTTATCATACAATTGGAGTTTAAACAACGCGTATGATTGAAAAATTATTAAAAGAAGACTACACACCAGTCAATCCTATGGATGAAATAAAATACTTTCGTCGAGAGAAATAGTTCAATTTGTTTCAGTTCTTTCACTGTTTCACATACGTTATACACCATCGGATAGGAATACATTACTCGCAAAATCTTATTCACTGATTACAACTGTGGAGATACACTTTATTTCGAATTAATAAAAAAGAAAAAACTAAAATACATACATAAACACATCATCTAAAATAAGTTTACACTACTTAAATTTGGTTAAATACTTTTCTTTTATTCTATAAAAACTATTTTAATCGGACGTTATCAAAGTTGCTTAATAAATGTAATATAACCTGAAAAAAGATTTGAGGAACTACATGGATGTCAGCACAAGCAGCAAATAGACAATGAATTTCTGTTCACATCTGTAACACTCAATTGTTGGTACTTGAACGAGGTGCATTCATCAATAAGAAAATGTACAGGGTTTGGTTAGTCTCAGGCATATGCGAATTAAAATTAGAACCTAGACTAAAGATAGGAAGAAGTTAAAATTTATTTTATTTTTTATATTTTTTCTTTTCTTGTACATTAAAATAATATAAAATAACATATAATTTTATATCATTTTCATATATCAGAATAAATAAAAGAAAATTAAGAATTTCAAATTTTGAATTATATTTTATAAATACTATTTTATTACTTTTATTTTAATTGAAAATTCGAAATTTATAAAATTAAATTCATTGTAATTAGATATTTTGCGTAATGAAATAAAAAATTAAAAGTAGTATCTATAATTTACTATTATAAAGAACTTCTAATATATTTACATATCTTATAAGTACATCAATATACCATAAGTTTAACACAATATCTATGTGTATTATTGAATTGAAATGTCGTCTACACATAGTTATGAACTCAAATTTAAAGAATGAGATACAGATAACATTGACAGAAATTAAAAAATAAAATTAGAGGTTTGCATAATACGAATATGCAATTGGTATACATTACTTAAGGAGATATGCCATTAATTAAATTTTATCAATTATCACTTTGATTTTATAAAAGTCATATATTTTTGTATATTAAATAATATCATACGGAATCAAAATAGGTTATGGTATGATCATAAAATTTCTAATTTACGTAAAATGTGCTAAAGAATCATATAAAATACGTGTTAAAGTAATTTATTTAAAAGTATGAATTTTTATTGTCCTATGTAAGATTTGCATTTATCTTATAAAAATAATGTATTTTATTAAAACCTGATTAAATAATTTCTATGTAGATTCATAATCTTATACTTTTTCAGGATACACTTTCAGTTATTTTCATTAAATATGTTGTTAGTGGTAGCTACATGTAAAATATTATGTATATTCATTGCTTTACCTATTTTGTTAATAACATGGAGAAAACAATATTCTAAAAAGCGAACAAAGAGATCACAGAAGGAAACAGTTGTAGGTCTCTTTCATCCATATTGTAATTCAGGTGGTGGTGGCGAAAGAGTACTTTGGGCAATTGTCAGTGCTATACAAACCAGGTATAAGGCTACTTAAAATAATTGATAAATTAATTAATAACATTTTAATTCCTATATTGTTTTTACAGATATCCTAATGTATACATAGTTATTTATACTGGAGATCTTGATGTACATCCTGAACAAATATTAAATAAGACAGAAAAAGTATTTAACTATAAAATTCAGCGTAAAATTGAATTTGTGTATTTGCATAGACGCAAATGGGTAGAAGCTTCAATGTACCCTTATTTTACACTTTTGGGACAGAGTTTAGGATCAATTTGGTTAGGTATTGAAGCTTTAAATAGCTTTGTACCAGGTGAGAAAGTTTTACACTAATTTCAATGCAAATTTACAAATATTATGTTACTGTAAATCACATATGTAAAATATTGTTTTAGATGTTTACATTGATACTATGGGTTATGCATTCACTTATCCGTTATTTAAATACATTGGTGGATGTCGAGTAGCATCATATACTCACTATCCTACAATTTCAACTGATATGTTGAAGCATGTTTACAGAAGAGTTGCCTCTCATACTAACAGAGGAGTTATAGCTAGAAATCCATTTTTGTCGGCAGCCAAACTTGCATATTATAAATTGTTTGGACTTGTATGTACATGAAAATTACTAAAGAATTATATTTCAGTATTATAATTCACAATTGCTTCAGATATATGGTTGGGTTGGCAGTAGGGCAGAAATAGTAATGGTTAACTCTTCATGGACTGAAGAACATATTAACACAATTTGGAAATGTCCTCTAAAAACCCATAAAATTTATCCACCATGCGATGTAAAACAATTAACATCGCTGCCACTTTTCAATGACGACGAAAAATGCAATGATATTCGTATAGTATCGATTGCACAGTTCAGACCAGAAAAAAATCATCCATTAATGTTGAGGGCCATGTATGAACTTAGATCAATTGTTAAAGAAGAAATGTGGGAAAAAGTAAGTGCAATACAATATAATGTAAATAATCAAATGGAAGGTTTTGCGATCTTTATTATGTTACATTGAGATCATATTACTTCCAGATACGTTTAATTCTTATTGGTTCCTGTCGAAACTTTGAAGATGAAGTACGTATGAAAGATATGCAAGATTTATCAAAACATTTTGCATTGGATGAAAATGTAGAATTTAAACTTAATATACCATATTCGGAACTTCTATCGGAACTTCAACGAGCATCAATAGGTTTACATACAATGTGGAATGAACATTTTGGTATTAGCATTGTTGAATGTATGGCAGCAGGATTAATTGTAATAGCTCATGCTTCTGGTGGTCCAAGGTGAAGTATATTTACAATGTATAATTAATAAAATTGTATAAAACAAGTGTCCATTAATGTCATTAATGATGTATAATCATTATCAATTATGATATATAAATAATTTTAGAGCTGATATAATAGAAACACAACCAGGATCACAAAATGGATTTTTAGCTACAGAAGCTGAAGAATATGCAGCAATTATTGCACGTATTATTAATATGCATCCAGAAGATAGACATACCATTAGAACAGTTGCTAGGTATTATTACGTTCGTATTGATTTATCGACTTAAGTACACTATTGGGAACATCATTAAAAACATATTTCTTTCAGAGCATCTGTAAATCGATTTTCGGACGAAGTGTTTGAAAAAGAATTTTTGCGAACGATGGAACCATTTTTTAGACAAAAACAAGAATGATAATTTTTATCGAAACTTTATTATGATTTACTATATGTTTTCTTAATGTACTTCTATGCCTTTTGTATCATAACAAAAATTGTAAATTGTTCATTTATTGGTTTGATAAATATATAATACATGTAATGATTACAAAATTATAAAATAGATTTAATCAAAGAAAAAAGAGCAGTTATTGTATAAATTTCAGTATATTATTTATTCTTCAGAAAATAAATAAAGTAAAAATGAGAAAACACAACAGACATATACATCAATGCATTTTACATTGAAATAATACTTACTGCAATATAAAATATAAATTTGTTATTTACCTCGCATCCATATTTTCATACCCATTGCCTTCACATTCCAAACTATACAGAATATCGCTACCATTTTTGTTTTCACTGAACTTAAAATGAACATTAAATTGATTTAAAATCATATCTGTTATTTCTATAGCTGTTTTAGTATGAGAAGTAAGATTCTTATTTCCAAGATTAATTTTAGAAGTACCTTTGGCTAGAGCCATCAAAATAATTAACTGAAATATTTAAAATGTTATAATATTATATTATGAAATTAAAAAATAATTTATAAATACATCATGAAAATATATACCTGATCTTGAGCATGTGCATCAACACAAGACCCTGCTAAAATTGTGTCCAAAATTTCGTTAGCTGCCTGTATACCCGCTGGTACTTCTTTCTGTCTTTCAGAACCTAATCCTGATCCACCAAGAATACATCCACTAGTCGTAGTGCACACTAGACTGATATCATTTATATTTTGTTTGAATTATAAATATAATGTAGAAAATTAAGCTTTTTGCAATATTTAAACTTACTTAATTCCAAATCCATTACCAATAGCTTGAGATTCATCTTCTTTGTATTCCTCAATATTTATAGACGGCAATGGTATATTATGTTTATTTAAACCCTTTATTAAAACTGATTTTGCATCATTTGCCATTTTGTATGCTTCCTTCAAAATAAGGTACATTAATTTATTATTTTAAGAAAATTTAATATCTAATATTACAATCCCAACATAAAAAGCATGTATAATACATACTCTAATATGGACAGCACCTGCAACATATGCCCAACCTAATATTTCACGTGGAATCCCTGGTTCAGTTAAAGTAATAGCTTTCAAAATATGTACAGGTTTTATGGACAAAAGTATCGATCCACCACCCTTAGGATAGTAACCCCTTTATAGATTATTAAAAGATTAATATTTTCTAAAGAATACCTATAATCTATAACAAAACATTAATGGCAATATAGTCATGTCTGTATATATTAATATGTACCTTTTTCGAACTTCAAAATTAAAATCTGCTCCAAACTTATTTAACAATGGTCTCAATACCTCTGTCAGATATTCTATATGTGGCCCCATAGGAACATTTGTGCCACCTTTGAGAATCAATGTAACAGGTTCTCTTTGAGGAAAGAAAAGAGCACAAGGTAAAGCCACTTGGCCTAATAAACAAATACAACCAGCAGTTCTTGTATCTGCATGAAATGTTTGTATTTTGTTTGCATTTAGCTGACCAGGTTTGAATTCTAAATTTGTTGATCCTATATGTGCTCCATAAATTTCTGCATTACACATATCCTGTAATAGTTTTATTCCTGTAAAAACATTGAATTAAAGATATATTTAGCAATAGCTATAAATTGTCTTTCAACAAAAATGTACCTGTTAAATGTTGTGCAGCCAATCCAGGTTTAGGACGACCTGCTCGTATATTATTAATTTTAACTGGAATTTTATATAATGCACTTAGGCAAAGTGCTATTCTTAATACTTGACCACCCTAAACATGAATATAATATTTTTTTTAAATTCTATTTCGAAATATTAAAAATAACATTTCGACAATAAAAATAATTTTTATATATTCTTTTATATATATTTTTATAGATCCTAATATATATTTTAATTGTTTAACCCTATATAATGTATAAAATGGACAGGGTATTAGAATTAAATACATACGCCTTCACCTAAGCCTCCATCAATTTGTATCGAAGACATGGTACGAGCAATGCAACTGAATATGTCAAACTTACGTATCAAAAACGGGATATAGACACTCATATAACCTATATTGTAATATATGATTAGTTGCTCGCATAAAACGTCAGATGGCGCTGCAGCGAAAAAATGCAAAATTTAATATAAGTACAATTTTCCCAACTAACAAAATATTACTTTTGTATAATGTTAAACTGCATAACAATAACGAGCTGTCAAAGTACAAACGACAATACATTAATTTATTATGAAAATTTTTATGTTATGCAACTGAGAAAGACATTATTTTTAATATTATATGTTATAAAACCCGTATTTAAAAACGTAAACAGTATTTTATAGTTAAATTGTCATATTTTATAAAATTAATACGACGACCCACATGATCTAAGAAAACCTTCTGCAAATTGTATATACGTATAATCGCAAAATTATAGATATTTATAAAAGACACAATACCATAACTATTAATAAACCAATTTGTATTAGTTAATCTTTTTACCCATATACAGAAATGATTGACATGTTCACATACAATTATACTTTATGCATGGCAAATAGATATAACTTTAAAAGCTGTAGCCATGTAAAAATGACGTCTTACTTAGTTGGTTCTAAAAATGCATAAGTTGAATGTTAACCCTCTGTGAACGAGACTATTTTTCGTATAGCAATTCGTTTGAATGAAATATTTTAAAGCAAGCCATTAAAAAACGATATGACATGAAAGATTATATTGTAGAAACTATAAATCATATTTTATATTAACATTTTTTTTTCGTTATACAGAAGGGTGTTTTCGAATATAATTTGATATCAACCATAATATTACCGACAATTTGATAACACTTGTTCGCAAAAGTAAATGAAACTGAAATTGTTTGTCTAAAATATCTTACACAAATCGTATATAAATTTCATTTTACTTGTAAATTCTACATTCAAAATTATATGTATATAAACAAATATACTACTCACGTGTATATACTTATATATAATTACTGTCATTGAATTATAAGAATGCGCAATGTCACATAAAATCTAAAATTATTTCTTCAAAATTATAATTATTTAATATCATAGAATAATAATTATAGAGATCAATAACCTTATATGTGTTATATAATAGATTGAAATAATTTTAGTTACATGTATTACCAATGAAAAAGTTAAAAAATAAGATAAACTAAAAGAAACAAATGAAAAATCAATTTCATAATCTTCGATGTTTAAAGTAGTACGTTATACAAATCATTTTAATAAAAATAAAGTACGAATATGGATTTTCTTGTATCCTCTTAATTACATAACTAGAAAAAAATGCCATTTTTTAAATTTAAATACACATAGAATTATGATATGATACGTACAATATTTTATTCCAAATTTTTTTAACCCTTTCGCTCCGACAGGTGTATATGTACGCCCTCGAAGAATGACCATTCATATACGAAGAGTGTATATATACGCTCTGGAAAAGCGGGCGCTCGGGTACGAAGAGCGTACATATACGTTCATACCATGTATACTTTAATTTTATACTTTACATTAAAAAAAAAAAAAAAAAAAAAAAAAAAAATCAAGTTCGAAAATATTTTGTCTGCGGTAAACACGGAAAAAGACGTGAGTCGAGGTACTAATGTTCACATTGTGATGTTGGCTTATGTGTGGTTCCATGCTTTGAACTTTATCATACCAAAGTTGTTTATTAATATTGTGTTCGGCTTTAAATACTTTAGTAATTTCGTTATATTGTATTAAAAAATGTTATATGAACATTATAATATAATATTTAAAAAAATAAATTATGATTGTAAATTTTTATATTTTAGAAAGTAAAATGATATTATTAAATATAATAAATATCATTGTAAAATTTAGAGAACAAGAAACAACTTCTAATTACTTCGTAGCATTCCGTACCTCAGTGTCAACTACTCGGTAATGCGCTCCGTTCACAGCTATCACATTTTGTCACAAGCACTCCGTAGCGAAAGGGTTAAGATAAACTTAAAATAAAAATACTTATTTCCTATAATGTAAGAAATTTGTTGCTCTCATTTTACAGTAGAATATAATTAATAAAATTATCATAATAAACTTGTTTCTATGTTATTATTACAATCTTCAGAAAGAGATGAAAGTATTCAAACAAATTTACAATATTGTTTATCTTGTACCATGCTTTTTAATACAATTATATTTCACGACTAAGTGGTCCATAGAACATTTCGTAAAGTTCCTTTCTTAAATGTTTATCATCTTTAAAGTTAAATATAATTTATTTTATACAAAGAATTATACACTTTATAAAAAATAATTGCATGAAAACTTATTGTATCATAAATTCATTTTCAATAAGAATTTAAGGTAACAAAATCAATATTTTCTATCACGTATACATATTATCATTTTATATATATAGCATTAGATAATTTAAAATATCTTTTCCTTTAATGATTTCTAGTCAAGAAATATTTTAATAAAATTAAAATCAAAATTTCGAGAGTGTGAATATGACTTATGACTAGCATAAAGTGGATAAAAATATACATTCAGTTAAAAGTAACATCGTGAACAACATTGTTTAACACTATAAGTAACACATGTAAATGTAACTTAAGACAAGGTGATTTATAAACAATAAGAACATAATGCTTTTGTCTTTTGTAATTAATCTTTTTTGTCTTAGTATTTTACAGTTGAATCAAATACTATTTAGTATAAATTAATTATATTTCATTTAAAGTATTTTTATGTCATATTAATTTCTCTTTTTCCTTTTGTTTTTCATTTTAATGTCATAAAATTTAAATGAATAAATAATGAACTCTTTGTTTTTAACAAAGAATGAGATTTTTAAATGCTCAGTACTATTTTTCTGATTTTTAGTAATTTGCCACATTTAAAACCTACATTAGTAAAAAATCCTATCACAAATCGTGGCTTTAAGATACTATTCTTATTCTTAGTTTTTAATACTATGTACCTTAAATTAATTTTACACATAATTATACTTTCACAGCTAATGCTTTTTCTGTTAATGTTTAAAAATGTTTTCTTATAGCTTTCAAAATTATTACTAACCTTTTGTGCTCTTAATTGTATTTAATCATAACATACATACATTGTATTCGTGAAATACTGCCTACATTGAAGGCAACTGTTGTTCTTTGAGATTCTTGTAGTTATTAATTATTCATAAAAAGCAAATAAAACTTCTAAGTAACAATTATTAAAGTTAAAATAAAAATTGAAATGATATTCATTGAAAAAATACATGATAAAATGTTAAAAACACAATTTGAGTACAAAAGGTTGAATCATTTAATATAAATGCGTAGTTACATACTTTTTCTTAACGAAGATATTATAAAATCATTCAATAAAAATCTACCATATTTACATCCATTCATACATTTCTTAAACAATACATAAATACAATCCGACGACAAAATATCAAGTCGTAATTTAAATTTTGCACAATTTTCAGCATAAAAATTTATGAAACATTTTGATCATCCTAAATAATTTTATTCATTTTTCATAATTTATTTTCTTTAAATAATTTGTTAATTGTATACTCACGTATAATTAATTTCTTTGTGTTTTTAACACGTTTTATAAACGTACGCATATATTTATAATAATATTCTATCCATAACTTACAAATTACAATGGACATTGTATCACATTAATTTTACTACCATACGATTTGTTCATTCGATTCCTATTCACTTCTTTTCTTTTTCTTATTCGTGTATTTTATATAGTAATAACTGATAAATTTGAGAACGAAATTTCTCGTCCATTTTATAAAATGTATGGTATGATTAAAATATATATATATATACGTTTCAATACATTTTATATACGCAAAACCAAATTTTCGTACTATTTTAGGTACTGTACTGAAATATTTTTCCTGTTTTTGTGTTTTAATACATGACGTAAAAGGGAGGTATTTCGAATTTCGCTATTCGACATAAACACATTGATATTTGTACTTTCTATTCAACTTCTAATAAAATTCATTTTTAATTTCAAACCGAAGTCTAACTTTTTCTCTTGCTTGGTACGTTGAATAAATATTGAACTTTTGACCCAGCACCTTAAAAATAATCTATCATTAATTATATTTTACAATATATTTTTTGTTTGCTGATATTTGTAACTATAATCGTAGTTACAAGTAACTCACTTTAAGGCCTTGATGATACTGCTACTTAACGTCTCTTATTTCCATGACGTCGGCCGAACTTACGATTCTTTCTGTAAATAAAAAAATTAATTTTTACTATTATATATTAAAAATTCTAAAAGTTCAAATGGTCAAAAAACTTAGTATTTATATTAAATTTAATACTCAATACTAAATTCAATTTTAATAGCTTAATATTTAAGTATATTACTATATTATACAGACACATAAACGGGGAAAAATATACCTAATTTTACTCGGCGAAGGAACCGGAGCATGTTCGGCAATAACAGGTAATACAGAAGTAAACCTGTCAGTAGGACGTAAAAGGCGTGCTGTACGAGAAGATAATCTCCATATCAGTCTTTGTCTGTGAGGGGTTTGCTCTTGAGCATTATATTTGCTCAATATAGCACCCACAGCTTCGTGTGTAGAAAAAAAACTTGCATCTGAAATCTACAAATCAATTTTTAATTTATCTATTGTGTTTATTAATTTATTTAAAAATTTTAAGAATTATCTAACTATTATATTATTACCTTACATATTTTCTGGAGTTCTATAGAAAAGTCCATAAGTCTAAACATTTGATGCCTTGATGTTACAGATGTATTGATAGTAGAGGAACTAGGAATAGCAGTTGTAGATATGGGAATATCTGTACTAGTATCTAATCGATTCACTGCACCATCTAAATACGTGCAAAGTAAAACAAGTGCCACTTCTGATGGCTTCAAACTTGCACAATTACCATCACATATAACCATCTCTAACCTAAGAAGAAGCTCAGATTCCTAACATAAAAATATACAACAAATTGATATGATTAGATTTATACAACAATGTCTTCTCTTTAGAATAATAAAGATTATTACCGTAACAATATCAGTATACATGTCTCCTAGCCCTAATTGTGATGCAATTGCAAGAAACATTGCATTAAATAACCGAAGAAAAGTCAAAGATGTAACAGGTTGAGTACCAGGTGCCCATTCTAACTTATTCCGTATGACTTCTGACATACGTTTTAGATCACCAGCAGTGCATTTGCACTGAGAAATTGAGACTAAGTGATCAGCATCCAGTGACTGTGCTAACTGGACAGCAGCTATGTGAAAAGCAGATACACTGATACAAGCCATATGTTTTGGCCTTGCTTTCATTTTTGTTAAAAATCGATCCATTAAATTGATGGCAACAAAAAATACATCCGATGGTAGATCATACCATACTTTCAAACACCTTAAAACATGGGCTGATCCATCACGAGCTCCAATTGTTATTTCATCATTCTGAAAGCAAAAAATACATCATTTTGAAAACAAATACTTATGATTTAGCACAAAATTATTCTAATTTAATATTTTATATAACTTATATACATACTTGTGATATACTAGGTAACTGAAGGTTAGGTTGATATTTTACTTCAAGAACCAGAGCTTCTTGCAATTGTTCAAGTAACGAGTGGATTGCATCCGGTACAGGCAAGCCCGATGTGTCCATTCCTGCAATGTGTGACTGACAGCTTACTACCACTACAATGAAAGGGTAAAGCAATGCAAAATATGTGTAGTGTAGCTGATGATATGAATGTCACACAACAAGAATGGCGCAGCTGGCTAGCCTTGTATCTATAAGAAAAAAAATAACACTGAATACAAAATAATTGTTTAAAGTAATTTTGACTTAACTTATTTATTATTGACTTTTATATTATATATTATGTTTTATGATAAAACATGTTATTTAAGTTGGAACAAAATATACATAACATATATAATATACATAACATATATAATATACATAACATATAATAATTGAAAAACTGTTTAAATTGTTTAACTATTTTAATAAATTACAGAGAAGAAATAAACATTTAAATATTCACCTCTAGTAGATTATAAAGTATATTTATATATTTTATAATTGTTGATTAATATTATTAAAGATATTAAAACTTAGACACATTATTGAAAATAAAATTTTTCAATTTGTAAAAAATTATAATATAAAACACTTTTAACGTTGGGTAGTTCGTTGCTATCGTTTAACGCGTGTATACTGCATCTACGCGCCGTCAACTCAATTACTTGAAAGTTTCAAAGAATGTACTAGAAAAGTATCTAACTCGAAATAACTTCGATCGTCTTCGATCTCGTATCTTCTTCTTTTATATAATTATTTTTTGAGAACACATTGACTTCTATTGTAACATTTATTATGACATTTATTTTAAAACTACCTCAATTACAAACTGTTTAAATAAATTATATACATGATACATTCGAAATACGTTTTTTTTTTTATCTTTAATACCAGAAGAATTATCGCTAAAAAAATTTTGAAATTATTATATGTAACAAAAACAATGTTCAAAGTATGGTTTCTGATCTAATCTATCGCCTAAAGAATATTAAATATCAAAAATATACGACTACTTAATATTTTCATATTTTATGCAGCCAGATTTTATTGCAATTACAATAACCAATTCAATAATTGTCGTACATTATAGGAATATCTAAAAAATTTAATATATAAGAAATAACATCCTATTTCATAAATAGCATTATTGAAGTTATATAGGAAAAAACAATTCGCGTACCAATATTATAGTAACATATACGAGCAAAATCAAGTACTAAAAAAATATAATAGCCGAAATATAAAAAGTCCGAAATAAAAAAAGAAGTTAATAAATTTTATAAAACAAAACGAAATAATTTGCAATGACGATAATAAAAAATATATTTACTTTATATTTACACAATAAAAAAACAAAAAGATACGAAATATTATAACAAAAAAATGATTGGAGTAAAAAATAATGTAAAATAACGGACTAGACTGAAAGCACTTTCGAGAATATTTTCATACAGAATAGCAAAAAAATATGCACAATATACATTTTGGTACTATTTAAATTCCATTACTGTTATATTCGATCAAAACAAAAAAATGATCGTATAGAAAAGTATTGACCGGCTGATGCAACGAACTGTCAAAATTAAAAGAACGTGGATGCGGTCGAAGTATTTCCGACTTTCGACACTGTATACCAAATGAAAACAATTCTAATTTAAAATATATAAATGTGCAAATAAATCTTTTTCAATAAGATGTAAGTAAAATTACCTAATTGATGTTAAAAATTCAATAAAAATTTATATTATAAAATATGTTCAACAAAATATTTAAATAAAATACATTAGTTTAAAAGAATGCAAATGAAACGTAAAATCACAATTTATTCTACTTATACGTTTATTAATTTTTTATATTATTCCGTATATGAAAATTTATAATATGTTTACAAACATAAATTTGATTGAAAACTATACATTATTACATCAGTAGTAAAAGTAATACAAGTAATAACAGTAATAAAAAATATTCCAAATAAACCATAAAAAAATATTTTAACTAATTTAGTTGAGTGTTTTAAAAATATCTTTTACTATAATTGCTTGTCCGAAATATATTATAGATAAAAAAAAGGAAGAAAAAAGAAATGACCACATAAAGAAAATTGTTTATCTAAAAATAATACAAATGAATCTTTTCAAATTATGAAAAATTAATAAATAAGTAACACAAATACTGCTTATGTGTTGATCGATTCATTATTAGGAATAGAGTATTAATTATACAGTTTCGTACATAATAGCAAATTAATGTACATACCATTTATATAAAATAATCTGCTATTATGAAATCACAGAACCATTAAAAAACTATATATATTGTTTTTTTCTTTACGTAAGAGCAATGAGCTCCCACAAGGAGCAAAACCTACACTCTACACAAGCGTATACTCGAAAGATACTGTAATTCGCATCTGCTTTGTGAATCGTCACGGGTGAACAATAGCCGAATTATTCCGAATACGCACGACTTTGAACGAAGTTAAACGTGAAATAGTACCAAGTAACGTACAAAATTTTTGTTGACAAATGTAATATTAAAATATCTCTTAGTAACTTATGTACAAAAGAATAATACATTTATTCAATAAAGTATTAAGTAGAAATCAATAAATTATTTAAACAAAAATATTTAGGTATACAATATGTAAATAATGAAGAATAATATCTTTAAGAACTCAAACTTTATAATAACAAACAAATATGCTGTTAAATGTTATTTTATAAAGTACATTTTGTATCTTTCTTATCTGTATAACCATACTTATAATATGTAAATTTACTTTTGCCATATTTGATGAATTTCTAATTAAAATATAATATTTAATTAATTCTCCAGTTACTTCTATCTAGTTTGTTATTAATAGTAAATAAATATTATGTATTTAGTCATCAAAATATAACGCAGAAATGGATAAAAACAATACTTCTCATTTATTCTAATGGTAAATCTCATAAAGTTCTAATTAATGTCATCAAGAAATATCATTTTAATTTATTTATATTGTATTGTACAAAAGACATATCATGAATTATCAAATAGTTCAAAATATATTAGGTGTAGTGTTCTCGTTACCACCATTTTGTTTTAGTTAGAGATTTAAACGTATTTTGTAAATATTTTTTGAAAAATAATGATATTTTAAAATAAAAACTTACCCGGATGCGTCCGAAACGCTTTCACGTCGATAGATCACCCAATCTTGGCTTTTTTTTATCGTATTTGTCGATATAGATAGGAAACAGATTCACGAACGAACTATTCTGTTTGACAGTTGTTCTAACAATAAGAAATGGCTGCGCTATACACATTCAGCTGATCATTACGCGTCACTGCACGCCCATGCGTAATAAGAAATAGTCCCTCCATAACCACAAATCATTTGGCAGAAAATTTGAAATATATCGTTAGATTAATTCATCATCCTTGTTACGGTTATTTCAAAAACAATTTTCATTAATCTAACGTTAAGTGCAATATTATTTTATATCTTTAAATTAATATTGCAAATAGTCTTGACATTAATAGACAAATTATATTTTCAGTTTTATTATAATTTAAAAAATTTTTAATTACTTATGTTTTGATAAAACATAAATTATATTCTAATACATAAAGTATTTCTATCAAATGTCATTGATATAATCATTTTCTATTTTAGTATTATAATTAGCAACCATAAGATAAATAGTAGTCATTATTGTACTATATGGATATGAAATGGTATATATGTATATTTATAAAGAAAAAAACAGGAATAATTTTTAAATATAAATTAATAACTTTTATTAGAATAGCTTTTTTACATACATTTATACTTACATACAAATTGGTAAATACTTAAATAAGAATACTATGTATCATAACATATAATATCATGAAGCAATATTAAATCTATGTATAGTGATACATACATAGGACTACTAAAAATAAGAATATTCCTTTCACTATTAACAATTATATAGGATAGTTTTACTTATATTATGTCAATAGTCATCATATTTAATACTGTAAAAAGCTTTTCTTTATTTTCTCTAGTTGCACAGATAATACAAGCAATTTGCTTATTTTCCAGAGTTTTAAATACAAACTTTTGATTACATTATTAAACTCTGAAATTTACTGATTAAAAAGACAAATTTCTTTATCCATTTTCATTAATGCATAAATTTTTATCCAAGTTTATTTTTACATTTTTTTCTTGTTCCAATGTCTTCACAATTGCCTCTAGTGTATATAAATGTTCATCATTTATACCTGGTGCTATCACTCGCATTGCAGAAGCCAGGTTATACAAATACTCCGTGTTAGCTCCACTAGGGCCATGAGACACTAATATCTGTTTTGCTATTGTGTATATATCTTCTATACCTGCAAAATTTGGATTACCTTCTCCACCTATGTAAATTGTAATATAAAATGGTGTGTTTTCTGAAACTGATGATAATAAGTTTTCATTCTCATAATTATTTTGAGAAATATTATTTGCTAAGGAATATGATTTAGTATTTTTAATTGAGTAAGATGGATAAAAGAGAACACTTTTTCTTTCATAACCTCCTTTTTCCCTGTAATCCAAGTGTTTGACAACTGTATCTATGTACTGAGGTGATAGTTTATAAGCAACACCCCATACTTCATCATTAGAATTATCAGAATTAAGCAATGTAACAACACGACCAGGCTACAAGAAAACATCATTGTTTGTATACTCAAATACAATTTACTATGTATTACATAAAAGCTAACATAATATGAATCATTAATAAAAAATTAAAAATTGATACGTAATAAAAAAAATTAATATTTTATATTTACTGTAATATATAAATATAAGGACTATTTTATATATACAAATAAATTTTCACCAATAAAAAAATAATAATAATAAACAATTTTGTTACAAATTAATTATGTAAAAATATTTTATATAGTTCAAAAAATCAAATCTGTAAAAAACTCACAATAAATATTCTATTAAACATTCAAAAAATATTAAATTAAGATGTTTTAAAAAAAATTTTAAACGAGTATAGTTTAATCGTAAATAATACAAAATATTTAAAATAGAAAATATTTAAAGAATTATAATACTAAAATAATGAAATACGTACTTCACTAGGTATTCCTCTATGATCTGTACTTTTCTGATAAAACCTTCTAACGTATCCTTTGATGTAACCAACGAGAACTTCTTCGTATGGAAAGTCTGCTTTCCATATCAATGAACCATAACCAAACACCCACATTATCACTTTTCTTGTCAAGTATTAATTGTTTTATTGATTATCTGAATTTTTTATTTAATGTTATATTTCTAGTTGTAGAAAAATATATAAATTTCAAATAAGACAATTTTTCTTGTTTTCCTAAAACATATTTGATACTGAATCTACATTGTACTATCAAACAACATATAGATTGTTCACTAATAGTTTTAAAGAAATTAGGTGATAAGAATCAAGAAATACTTTACATTAAAATTTTGAATAGCGATCTATTAAATATAATTATTTTCAATGAATTTACAGTTTTTTATATGCCACAAATTTTTTAATATTTCATATTTAACTTTTGTTTAGAATAATTTTGAATTACATTATGAAATTATGGTTAGAATATATACTTAAATGAAACTACATCAGATAACCATATGGATATTTAAATAGTACAACTTTCTCACGTGGAAAATGAATCTTTATATTAATTAAAATATGCAAGCTTTAATGTTAAATGGTTATTGAATGATTTAATTTTAGTATATAATTATTACAAATATTTAGTACCAAAATTAATATCTAAAATGTTCTCAAAACTTCTATGCACCGATGTACTTGCTGTTCGATGCATTGATAATTTAATTTTTATAGGTTAGTGTAATATAATGTTTTTTGTAATAATAGATAAAAATCATACTAAAATTTTTATTTTTAATTCTTTTTTTGAACAATAATACTTATACAAAGCGACAATATTTCTTAACTTTTATATTTTTAATTTTAAGTTGTATTATCATTTTTATAGCTATGGGATGTACATTATACATTTTTAATGTTGATACTTATAAGTTTGAAAGGAAAATAAATTGTCTTTATCCATATAATATACATGGAATTATTGAAGGCCCCGATAATAAATTAACTGTGTTTGGTGCTCATTTTTTTTGTACATATAACATTTATCACAAACAGGGAACACTGATGTATGTTGAGTAATACATGTATAATATTTGTTTAACTAAGCATTATATATTTTATTCATTTATATATTTATAATATGGTATTTATTCTAGTATTAAAGAAGATTGCAATAAAAATGTACTTAATGATTGGATAATAGCTGCAAAATGGTTAACATTTGAAAAATGTAACTATTTATGTGTTCTTTTAGCACATAACAATATTTGTATTTATAATGTGCTTGGTAAATATTACCAAAGTACATGGTGTGAAGAAAGATGCATTCTGTATCCTTATATTCACATATTTAAATAAAATTCTTTAATGTCAAACTTAACTTAATTATTAGATATGGTGGTTCTATATTAAATAACAACAATAAAAACCTAATTATTTTTAGTGGAACAGTATATCAAGAAATATTAATATGGGAAGTAAATTATATGTATCATGCTGAAACTGCATCAGTTTTACATCGTTTACAAGGACATAATGTTCGTAATACATTAATTTAAAGAAATATCTTTTTTAATTTGTTGAAATTTATAAATATATTAAATTCCAGGGTGTAATATTTTCAGTCATATATGATCCGGCTACACAACTTATTTGTTCTACTTCAGATGATAGAACTGTCAGATTATGGAAAGTAAGTAATGGAAAAAACAACGATGGTAATCTCATAAATTGGAAAGAAGTCAATATAAAATTAATGCGAACAATGTTTGGTCATACAGCAAGGGTGTGGAAATCTATTATTAGGAATAAAGTTTTAATAACAATAGGCGAGGTAACTATTATTATGCACATATAACAAGTAATGTATAATGAAGATAATCCATTTTTATATTTATAATTTAAGGATTCTCTTATATGCAATTGGTCATTGGATGGTAAATTACTTAAAAAAGTTTGTGCTCATCATGGTGCTGCTATATGGAGTATTGATATATCAGATGATAACAAAAGTATCTTCACTGGTGGTGCTGATGGTGCAGTTCATGCATGGCCTTTTGTAAATAATTATATTCAAGAAACTGTAGTAATGCCTAAAATATGTGCATACGCTTCACCAAAATATGTTTCTTACTTGAGTAGTGGCAACTATATAATTTTTAATGAAGATGGTACTTTACTTATGTTTGACAGATGTCATAATAATCAGCAAGAGACACTATACTTACAAAAATATAGCACATATTGTGTTATGGAAGTTTCTTTATGTCATTCCTATATTTGTTTTGCTTCAAGAGATGGATATATAACAATATACAAAGGTAAAATAACTTCAAATATTGGAAAAATTATATTAATTATTAAAAATATTATGTATAATGATTTCAGAAACAGAAGTTGCAGCTAATATAAAACTAGATCAAATTTTAGAAGAAAAGATAATGGAATCACAAATACTTTCTGTACAGTGGTTAGAAAATAATAAATTAGTAATTTGTGGGATAAATGGGGTATTAAAAATATTTAATTTTACTGTGACAGGTATAAACAAATATACAATAGCCTTTTTATGTAGAACATTTTTCTATTTCTCTGTAATTTTTATTAGTTTTATTTCATATAGGATCAATTATTTTACAATCAGTATGTATCTTACCATATAGTCGCGAACGTTGGTTAACAGCTGCTGTACTATATGAAGGCTTGTTAGTATGTGGTGATAGAGCTGGAAATATGTATGTTTTTGAGTATGAAAAATTTATTCCATGTAATGAAAAAAGTGTTTCTGGAATGGATCTGATGAAACAGAAACCTATTCAAACATTTGTCAAAGTTCATGGAAAAATTGGTATTCAAAATTTTATAATTTTAAATTCAAAATTAATATCAGCTGGTCGTGATAGAATGTTAAAGTTTTATGAATTAAGTAAACATGAAAACACTAAATTATTGAACACATTACATCAACAGAAAATGCCAATGGATTGGATTAGTGGCCATTTAAAATTGTCTGAGGATATTCTTGTATTAGGTTTTAAAGAGGTATATATATATATATATATATGTGTGTTTAAACGGATTTTATACATACATGTACATATTTTTTTAAGCATTTTTGACTTTTTCTTCTTATTATTCATAGGTAGAATTTACAATATACAGTATGTTTCATCATCGAATTTTGATGAGAGTTCCTTGTGGTGGTGGTCATAGGTCATGGGATTGTATGTTACTGAATGAATTTATTACATTTCTGTATATTCGCAATAAGCAAGTATACATATCTGATTTTCCACTGTATTCTTTCACATCACCTATTTTATTAGTGAGTAAATTTTTCATATTTTATATACTTTCATAGAAATTAAATATGTATCATATTCTCTCAAATTTCAGAATGGTTTTCACACAAAAGAAATATACTGTATCAATCCAATATTAAAAGTTGATCAGTATAATGCCTTTATATCTGGAAGTGAAGATGGTACTATTCGTATTAGTTATATTTCAAATATATTGATGAAAAACAATTACACTTTTCAAACATTAAGTATATTTAATGGTCACATTTCCAGTGTAAGATTTCTAACTTGTTTAAATTTACAATCTGATACTTTATATAATAAATATCTAATTTTTTCGGGGGGTGGAAGAGCACAAATAAAAGTTTGGGAAATTGATATTAAAATTAGTAAAACATTTTTACAAAGTACAGATATTTCTTGCCATGACATTACATCTCATATGTTGTATGGATTTGATCGTCACCGTAAAAAACAATGGCAAAAATGTAATTCTTTTTATAATATACAACCAGAAACTCGATATATGGACGTAAAGATATATCGTTGCAATACTAATTTAAACTATGTAGTGCTTTTTGTTGCTTGTGCAGATGGATTTGTAAGGTATATGTTACATATAATGTTCATAAATTTATAATATAATATATATCCGGTATACTTTAATAATGAATATGGATATGAATAATATTAAATATTATTTGTATAAATATAATTTTAATTAAGATATTTGTTCATCTTGATATTTATTTAAGTATTACTTGCAGAATATTTTTATATGATATTAATATAAAAAGTGTTTCATTAAAAGCACATGCAAAGTGCGTTGATCGCTGTATAACAAAAATAACTGTTTTAACATATGATGAGAAGATAATTGTATTAATTATGTCAACTGATGGAATTGCTCGATTCATCGATTTTACTGATACTGTTTCAATAATTATAAAATTTCCACAAACCAAAGAAGAAGGATCCCAAAATTGTAAAAGCATATCCATCGCAAAGTTTAACTTACATCAATCTGGAATTAATTCATATGATATAAAAATAATAGGAAAAGATGAATATTTGTTAGCAACTGGTGGTGATGATAATTTATTTAACCTTGTTCATTTTAAAATTCAGTTATTAAGCAAGGAGAAAGAATTATACATCTCATTATTATCAAAATGGAATACTTCAACTGCACATGTTGCTCAAATCACAGGTATGTTTATAATTTCTATTTTGAGACATATGTACCTTTAAATAATGCTTAAGTTTATTTATAACTCTTATATTTATATTCTTTAAATTACGATTTATTGAAAAAGAAAATATTAATAAAACAAGAATCTAAACATTTTATTAAAGAAAAGTAATAAGAGAAACATTTTACCAAGAATTTAGTTAATTTGAAAAAGTTTTTTCAGGAATAATATTTCACGAAAAGAATACAATTTTCAGTGTTGGCATGGATCAGCAAGTAATTATGTATCGTTATGATTGTAACAACAACTTATCTGTAAGAATATTGAAAAGAATCTATACGTTTGTGACAGATGTAAAAGGCTTAACATCATGGTATAATTCAAAGTATGTTTATTGCTTATATAGTATTTTATATTTTACACTTAAAAGAAAAGATTGAAAGCAAACTTGTATTCTAGATACTATTATGTTTTAGTAAATTAATCTTCATTTAGTTTTGATATTAAAATTTAATTTTTTTAGGGATGAATCATTTATATGTGTATATGGTAAAGGATTTGAGATATTGGTAACTTAATGACATACATATATATATATATATATATATGTGTGTGTATGTGTGTGTGTATATATAAGAGATTATGGTAAGAGGTAACATTGTTTCCTAAAAATTTAATAATAAAGAAATATGATTTATATTTTATTGGTTTCACAATTATTGCATTAACATGTAATTCTGTTTGCTATCACCAGATGGCGAATTCGGAAATAAACGTTAGTGTTGCGATTAATTCAGTTATCTAATTGAACTGTTTGATTCTTGCAAAAAGTAAAACGCTATTTTAAATACTAATTACTACATAGAGATGACAAGTATCACAATATCAGCAATTCGAACACGAACTAGTATTCTTGACAAATCATTAAGTAAAGGAAAGGGAGAGGTTAGCTTGAGTTGTTTCGCACTTTTGTTTTCAGAACTCGTGCAGTATTGTCAAAATCGAGTTTACACCGTACCAGAATTACAAAATAAGTATGTAATTAATTAAAATCATAAAAATATTGCTATACAAAACAAGATTTTCCTATTTATTGGTTAGATTGGCAGAAATAGGTACAGAAGTTGGTCATAGAATAACAGATCTACTCGTTGTACGAGAAAAAGGTGGAAAACGTGAAATAAAATTATTAAATATTTTATTATTTATTAAAAGTACAGTATGGAAATCATTGTTTGGTCGTGAAGCTGATAAATTAGAACATGCAAATGACGATGAACGTACTTATTATATTATTGAAAAAGAAGCACTAGTAAATAAATTTATATCAGTTCCAAAAGATAAAGGAAGTTTAAACTGTGCATCTTTCATTGCTGGAATAGTTGAAGCTATTCTATGTGATTGTGGTTTTGTGAGTCTTCATTTTTATTAATATTAATTTCTGAAAACTGAGATTAAATAATAAATAAATGTTTATCTATAGCCAGCGAAAGTAACTGCACATTGGCATAAAGGAACAACATATATGGTTAAATTTGATGATGCAGTTGTTGCTCGTGATAAACAGCTTGAAGATCGGTAATTAAAAGTATAAGAAGTAAGATAAGAATATTAAAATGAAACACTATATTAAAATATGATTCAAGGATGAAAGTTTTTTAAATAAAAATGTAAGAAATGAAGTCTTTGATTTTTTGCCAACTTAGGGTATTTTTAAAACACTATAATGATTTCCTTATTTTATAACATTATTTTCTTCATCAATTAAAGTCATAAGGAAAAATTAAATTCAACAGAGTATACAATGAAGTACATATAGTTTTCTTATTGCCTCATCATGTTTATTTGTGAAATAATTGTCTGTACTAAATATATATTATAGTACATAAAGCACTACTTACATTAGCATACAGAATAATTACTTAAATTTACAAATTCATTATTTATAAATATACTACATGAGAAAGTAATTTTTATGCGAATTTATATCGTCTTTCACTATATTTTTTTTTACCACTACGTATAATCCGGTCTCTATATTGCTGTAAAATACAGAACAATGTACTCTCATTATACATATTTAACAAACACTACAATTTATTTATTAATTTACCTTAATTTTGCGAATAATAGTTCCAGCTGTAGAAATGAATGTAACAAATCCTGCAGCAACTATTAAGTGAGGTACAAATCTTAATTTCACATGATACTCATGTTGCATTCTTGTGTGAGAAAACAGCATAAGTGCATTATCTACCTATTATAATTAAATAATAATATTAGCTATATTATATATCTATTATGTATATCACAATGTAATAAACTTAATAAAATAAGAGTCTATATATTTTTGTACAAGCTATTATATGAATGAAATATGAATGAATGACTTCTTATATAATTTTATTTTTTATATAAAATTATAATAACATATCACGATTAAACTTTGTAATAATTATTTAAAGTGATCTATTAATAAATATTTAAAATATTACTATTTAAAACAATCTATTGTTTTTAACAAATTAATATTAATAATTATCGAAATACTATAAGTAAGGTTAAAAAATGATCGATACATACAGGAATTGTTTGCTTTGTTGGATGTAATATTTCTTTTAAATACTCAGTACGTAATTGTTTTCTTCTTGCATATCTCCATTCTAATACTTCCCGTTCTTTCCGTGATAGATCGTAAAATTCTACTGTCTTCTTATTCATTCTTTTAGGATAAAATTCGAACACTTAAGAACAATATGGCTTGACCGCATACATATATATAAGTAGGTAGTCACTGTTATAGGGTATAAGGTATAACTACGCTAGTGACATAAGATAAATAGAAATTCTGTTATTGAAATAACTAACAATGAATTTTACTTATTTTGTGTCACAAAGCTGTCCAAACATGTTTATTTGTTAAAATGCTTTTTATCTTTGATTTGTACTATTTTGATAAAGTTTTGTTAATTATTTCAAAATTTTGTAATTTCCAATTGATGATATTACATGTTTATAATTTAACGCATACAATTTAAAATTAGAATTAAAATGAGAATTAAAGTAAATTTAGTTTCTAGCTTTTGATCTAAACAAATAAATTGAAAACCATAAAAATCGAAACATTATTAAAAATGTATATTTAATTTTTAAAAGAATGATTTATAAAAATAAATAAAGAAATGAATAGAGTTGGTATATTATAAATGTAAAAGATTAAGACGCAATTTAAAGAACACGTAAGCATTGCTTGCGATAAAATGCATCATTCACGTATGCATGTATATTTGAAATATGGGTTGCTAAATACTTATCAAAATCACATGACAACTACTACATGTAATGGATGATCGCATTCAAATCAATCTATACAAAACATCGAGAATAAGTGCACGTGAGTAGATAAATGTTATACGATATTAGACGTTGCAGTGTTTCCCAATGAACTAAAATTTTATTAAAATTAAATATTATTCATTTTAATTATTAAACAATATATGTTATTATAGATATTTTTTAATATTGCTACTATTTCAAATTTTTAGTATTAAAAAATATTTGTTTGATACTGCAAACAGTATAAGAAATTAATTAATGCGCGCGCATACACACACACACACACACACACATATCTAACTCAATTACTATATTTTATATAAATAACTGAAGTATAAATATTTCTAATATGATGATACTTTTACAAAACTTGAGAATACTGTATATAAGTAGCAATATAGAAATATGATAAAATTTATACTCTTAATATATACTAAATTTAATATTAATTAGTGTTAAAAATGATTTCTATACTTAAAAAGTGATGTAGGTAATAAAATGTTTAAAAGTAAAAATGATACATGAAAAATAAAACATAGATATATTTTGAAAATGGACATCATTATCATAGTACCATAAAGTTGCATTTTTTTCTGAGACAGTTATTTTATATTTTATTATTTTTTATATTATATTTTATATCATGTTATTATTATTTTTTATGTTATAATTATATTTTATCATCAATTATTTAAACTTTGATCTTTATTACTCATATACATACATTACGTACATTTAATAATATTCTTATTTTTCTAATGAATCATTTAATATCGTGATAGGAAGTTGGGAGACGCTGTCTCAGAACACAAATTAACAATGATTCATGAGAAGGAGGGGAAACCATAGAATGTTCAGAAAAGAGTGTGCCTTATATTAGTCGGAAGTAACAGAAAATACGTTGTCGGTATTAATTTGTTTGTCACACAGTAACCAAATAATTATACTTGGTAAGATATTTGACAATTCGTTTATATCTTTAATAACAATTAAATTGTAATTATACGTAAATATATATATATATATATATGTCTTTA